TGTGCATGACATCGTTGGCAGCTGGATTTGCACGATGAAATTAGCAGTGATGCTTAGATATTGCTGCTGTGCGAGAGGGCCACAGTAGAAGACACAACTTACGCAACAAACTTCCTCCGTTTTGGGCATTCGACCTCTTCGGTCGCTCTGGAATGTTTTCTACGGTTCATGAGTCATGACGATGCCCGATTTGATGTATCAGGACCTGAAGTTGTCGGCAAAAGACAAGTAGAAAACTGTGATGCAGGAGTATATTCTGATGAAGTTGGATGAGTGAGTGATGGATCGAGTTGTTCGGACTGTCGGCGGTCTGTTCAACTTCGCCGAGCCTCAGGCCGAGATGTCCGCTTAGATAAGAACCAACACAACACAGCAGGAGCATGGATTAGTTGGGCATTTGTACATTTCAATGATGATACTACTAATAGATAGACTTGATACATGATAGATATACATAATCTAATGGTTTGGTAGCGGTCTAGTATGAAATACTACTAGCAACATTCTCCGTTCCTGGAAAATAAATAGTATTAGAAAGCACGAACATGATGAGATATTTATTTCCGGGCCATTTAGTGTCACTGAGCGCTATCTATTTTCAAAACTTCAACTACTTACTCTTTAGTAGCCTCATGCTTGTATAAACTACTACTTCGTACAAGTTCTACTATGTACAACCAATTTCGAGTTACTTCCTACGCGCAATTCAGGTTAGCGCGTCCTACTCCACTGTCACTGTCAAGTGCCCATCTACAAACTTTGAACCGAGTGGAGCCTCGAATAAAGATCGTCTCGGGCGAGTTTCAACCGGTTTTGAGGGCGCACACGAAGCAAGTCCGCGACCCAACACGTGCATTCTACACCTGGAAAATCACCACCTCCCACCTCTTGTGGCGTTACTGTAGCGCAAATGCAGTGTCAACGCGCCAAGGGCGCCACGGCGATCCTCGTAAGCCTTCTACCTTGTAAAGCCGCTTAGCGGAAAGCGTTCTTCCACCACTCCAGGTTATGATCTCCGGCACTCGGCCGTTGTGCGGACACCGGAAATGTTGTGTAATCCGAGGCAACACCAACATTGAGCCCAGGTAGAAAGCCCCATTGGACTTGTCAACGGAGATTTCCGAGCAAGATATAAATCCGGCACACCCGATCAAAGTTTCGCAGCCGCTCCGGAAAAGTTTCTTAGACGTGTCACACAGCCGCAGGCAAAGAAGGGAGAGTGCGACAGGCGGGTAAACGATCGAGCCCCGTGTTGATGACCATTGCTTCAATCGTCGTCCAATTCAATTGGCCGAAAGAAAGGAGGAAACCCAACCAGTAGTGTAAGCCTGACAGGAACCGGAGTCTCGACTGAACGCAGTTCGCTCTATGTGGCCTAAGGGGCAAAAAGCAAGATTAGTGTAGAGTTAAAAAGTCGGGGAGCTGAGAAAGAGCGACAGTGGCTGCCCGCAAGCGTGCGCGCTAACGCGGGTCTATCTATGCGGATTTAATTTCCAGACCCCGAAGTGCGCGTAACCCATCCAAGCCTTGTCCAACAGTATTTTGTGTGCGTACCTCCCACGCTGCGTGTTAGGGACCGAAAGTGAGAACAGGGGCTGTAGATCATCCAGAAGTATAAGACGAGCCAAGCCAGAAATAAATCTACCGATCGCAGAGCCCACAGGACAGTTGGGAAGCCTCGAGCATCGGGTCCACCCCCGGGCGGTTGCAAGGGTGCTAATTCTGGGAAAACCGGTTGAGACTGGGAGGTAAGATCAGGCTGAAAGTCCGGAAGACCTTGGTTAGCGCATTGGCGAAAGGGATATCCGGGATTTGTGTGCCGGTGCCACAGGGGAGGAGGAAAGGAGACTACTAATTAGTAGCGAAGCGATGCTCGAAGCTGGCTGGCAACAATGCAGCTGAACCCGACTGGCCTCGTCGCCACCTCGCCTTCTTAAGTTCTCTCCTCTCCCCTCCCTCTCTGCGATCTCATCGGCGAGATCGCGCATGGGGATCTGGCATCCAGATTCGTGCCCTTGCTTCATCAATCTCTCTGCGGTGCTCCAGGAGGAAAAACTGTTGGTCCGCGTGCAGGAAAGAGGGTCGCAGAGTCAGCCACATCCCCATACGGAACCATTTTCCATGCCAATCGTGATGGCGGTTCCGAACTTCAGAACTACTTAAGTAAGTCTCGGCCGATGGAACGAAGCATATTTGAATGGTCGACTGGCCCCCAAGTGAATGGTTCGCATATTCTGGTTCAGTGGACGTTGACATTCCTATCCCCCTCCCTCCCTTCTGCAAAGTCATGCGAGCGGAAAGAGAATGGCGGTTGGGGGAAGTTGAGTTGGCCCTGCTGGTCAGGCAGACAAACCAGTCAACTTCCTTTTTCTCCAATAATCTCCTCCGTCTCTCTCTCTCTCTCCCTTTCCCGATCTTCCCCCCGCCTCGGCCGAAACATTCAACGGCCTCACTGGTCCAGCCAGTATCGAACCTCAAATCCCGTCACATTCTTCGTTAAACACCCCCCTCGATACGTTTCTATTGCAAAGTGCCTACTAGATATTCTTCTAAGCACGGACCCTGTAACATCATCTTCTCGCCTCCTTGCTCAAGAAGCAGCGGACAACAACCAGTGCGTCCCTGATGAATGTCCAACCATGAAACCCCCTCTGGACGGCGGACGCGAAGAGAGTCCTCGCTATCTGAATAGTGAAGCTATAACCCCCAACGGTCTCTTTGCCTTCTGGCTAATATCTTGTGTTATCTTCAGTGCAGACTGATACTGTGAGCCAAATGTGTCGAAATGCTTGGCCACAGAGCCTCCTCCCTAGAACGCGCTCGTGAACGATTCCCAACTCAAAGTGAAACGCAGAACGCGGCTCGCCATACGTCATCTAAGGTTGTGCTGATGGACCTGGCTAGTCGCCCATAACATTGGCTGCTCCGACACGGAGTACCGGCTAGTGGTACCCCAAGGAAGCGATGCCCAGTGCTATGGTCGGCCGCCTCGTCCACGATCTGCGTCGAATCTTAGAGAGCTTATCAAGTTCTATATCCGCAGGCCCACGAGCTTGTGGATTGGAGCCACTGCAAATTGGTCTGATACCTACAGACTAGGCCAGGCCCAATGGAAACAAGAGGGAAATGGGGGAAACAAGCTCATCGTGAAAGCCTCCCACATGATACCACTAACATCAGTGCCGATGACTAGTAGCTTCCTCGATCGGCATGACAGATTTATTCCATGGGTGCTTGGTCAATGTTGGTCGATTGCAGTGATACCCGACCGGCTGGATTGTGTTGGTAATGGCTAGTGGTACGATCAGTACATTTCCTTGCAAATAACACTGCTTGACGCGCCAGGAAGCCACCAACTAGCGGGGAAGAATCGCCTGGGACATACCGCATACGTACTGCGGCGTGGTTTGGTAACACAAACTGCCGAGCATGTGATGTTTAGCGACACGCATTACGCAAAAAGCCATATCATCATTATTTGACCTCAGCACGCAGTTGAGTAGCGCTCAACGGAAGAAATTTCCAACCAGCACCATTCAAGCCTGTGAACATGTGATCACACCAATCTGTTCGCCACGCTTCCAGTCACCGCTTCATTCACCCAATACGGACACATGACCCTCCAAACGATCGCGGACAGTAGATGTATAGATGTCCGCTGAACTTTCAGCCAAATTTACATGAAAGAAAAACTCAAGTCGTCAACTTTCTGCCTCCGATACTGAAAATCTGCGAGAAAGCACGACCTCATCTGGCGTTTCCGGATATTCTTTCGAGTTTCTTCAGCTTTCAACGTATCGTGGGACTAGAACGAGGAAGAATAGACATGAGCCAGACATCAAAAAAGGAGGAGAAAAGCCACGAAAAGGGCACGGATCACCGTAAAGGGACAATGTTCATGGGCAACTGGTGGCGGATGATGCAGATGATATACTGTTTACCTCAAATAGGCAGCAGCTTCCCCATGAATGCACAATGAATCCGTGAGGATTGTCGCAACCCCTCCCCGATCCAAGGATAGGTGGTCGTATGTCGACCCCGTCGTTGACACCAGTGGCCTGTCAGCAAAACAACATCCGAAAAGAAGCAATGGATTAGCTAGCCACCAGGTGCCCCTGCGGTGTCGAGGTTGCGGGGTGCTTGCATTCCTCTCCGGGTGTTTTAACTCAAAACCCCATGTCTAGGCCTCTGGCATCGGTTTCGACGAGCTTTTAATTGGAGCCACTGAGCGACTTCAGGACATGCAAGTGAGTAAAGACCACATGGTCAATGCTGGTGGCGCTGATTTAAGATTGGAGGTGTGCCATCCAGGTGGTGCAGCGGCGTGCACCAAACGTTATCCCCTGAAGCCGATGCGGATCTCGAAATGCTTCCATCTCCCATGTTTTCAAAGGTAACTTGTTGCTGATGAGCTGGATGGGAGGGAACGGGGACGTCCGCCTCACCAAACATTGGCACCGGGTTGGCTGTCATGCGGTCCCACGAGGTCGGGTCGCGCCCTTTCTAGCTAGGTCAACGGGCGAGCTTCTCGTCCAAAAAAGAAAATTAGGGAGGGCTTGTGGATGAGAGAGAGCCTCTTTCTCTTGTCAAAAAATGCGGAGATGGAGGGAGCGAAGAACCATGGTTGAAAATGATAGCCCGAAGGACAGTCTTCTGGTCCAATTTCCACTTGGTGTTCCGGAGACGCGAGCCGATTTCCGCCCAACTTGTGGCGAGACCAAACCCGGCAGTTAACTCCAGCCTACCACACTTCTCCCTTGACCGGCTCTGGGTCCCTTTCGGCCAACAAGCGTTAAGCTGTTGCTATGAATCTGTGACACCAAAAACCGCCCTGTCCACTATTATTGTTCTCTCCTGGTCTATAGTGACCCTTATGCCCAGTCCTCGCTAATCAGGAGTGTTTGCCCGTATTTGCTGTTGCTGGGTTCGTCCGTGCTATTGAGGGTTGGGACCAAGGGGGCTGACAAGTTTTCTCGCCTCGCCTCGTCTTGTCTTTGACAATGAGCGACAACAACCGGCCCCCTCCTTTCCCTTATCCCTCTTATTCCTCGTCCGCCTCGTCCGACCTCCCGGACAGTGAACCCAAGTATCATAACTGGCCAGTGCCTCAGTACTCACAGCCTGCCTCTTTCGGTCCGCCGGTCTCTTACGAGTCCGTCCCCGTCAGTCATGCTGAGACCCCCGCTGCTGGCGGCTCCCGGAGCGCTCCTGGGGATCGCACAGTGAACTCCAAGGTGGCCATCCCCAGGACAGTGAGCACGAGCACCTGGACCAGCAGTGGCCGAGTCAGCCGGGCTTGTGAGAACTGTCGAGACCAGAAGGCCAAATGTAGCGGTCACCGCCCGACTTGCCAGCGTTGCCAGGAGTCGGGCATCCGCTGCTCCTATGGAGATCGGAAGCGCGAAAAGATGGCCAAGTGCGTTTACGTGACTGCTTTCGAAGTTGATCGATGAATCTATCTGACGGTGGGTTCTAGGCAGCTCAGTGATCTGACAACCCAGGTCCAGGTATACGAAGCCGTTATGCGAGAGATTGCTCCGAAGCTGGACTCGCAAACGGCCCAATACGTCGAACGAATTTTGCACGATGTAAGATCCCTTTAATCCATCCATCTCTACGTGGCGGAACTCTCCCGCTATCTTCTATTATTCCTCCCTTCCCCTCTAGACCCCATTCCCAGCCCTGTTTAACATAAAGAAACCCATTACAGCAAAGAGATGACCATGACCAGCTCGGTGGTGCACATGGGTCGTCCGCATCATCGGCCGCCAAAGTGGCCGATGCAGCCCTTCTGGGGCAGCCCTCACCAGGTTCTTCGCTGGCGGCTCTAGACTATACCAACGAAGACTTTAACCGTGACGAGAAGATACAAGCCATGGGCTTTGTGGGTGAACATTCCGAGATCGCTTGGATGTACAGATTAAAGCGCCTTCTGGAACGATCGAACTCCGCATCCCCCCGAGAGACCTGGGATCGACATTCGGTCTCCTCCGTGAATTTTTTCCTCGACGACTCGGATATCCCAGTTATTGATGATGTTGATCCATCTCAACGACCCCCTATTACGGTGGCTGACCAGCTTGTCGACAGCTATTTCCAAGCCGTCCATCCAACGTTCCCAATCGTGGGCAAGATGATTTTTCTGGCACAGTACAAGTCTTTCTACTCGGCTCCTCATGTACGGCCGGGTAAAAGATGGCTTGCAATACTCAATTTGATCTTCGCGATCGCTGCGAAACACGCGCGTCATTTGTACAATGACGTCGAGAATGGGACCGACGAGAGCTTGGTCTACTTCTCGCGGGCATGGAAGCTCAGCATGAATGATACGGCACTTCTCGAGCACCCCAATCTGCAGCAAGTACAAGTGGAGGGGCTGACTTCGTTCTACCTAATGTCCATAGGACAAGTCAACAGGTATGCACCTTCCGTGATTACTTCTCCTTACGTTTCAGCGCCCATTCCTTTGTGGTTGCCCGCATTTCCCGCATCCTTCTCTGATTTGATAAATCCCCCCTCTCAGGTCCTGGAGAATCTGTGGTATATCCATCCGTTCGGCTGTCACGATGGGGCTGAACTTGAGAAGCGAGAGCAATGCGATTGTTCATGTGTCCAAGGAGACGCGTTATCGGGTATGGTGGTCCCTATATATGCTGGATAACTCACTTTGTGTCATGACGGGCCGCCCACCGAGCACCAATGATGTTTTCTGCACCACGCCGCTCCCAGTTCCTTTCAAGGAGGAAGAATTCATGGACAACAAGGTCGTTCAACTGATCGCGGATCACGAAGCTCGAAATATCTTCATGGAAACCTTCTGTTTACGGGTTCCTGGAAGATCTCCCGACAACGCGGGAACGCCCGACTCTTTCCGGCTACAAGTGAATTCGTTCGGCAAACAAAGTGATCAGGTCGCTGCTGGCGCCATCGAAGCGCTCACACCAAACACCTCGCTCTATTTCCTTTATCATATTGACCTAGCGCTGATCATGCGGGAGTCGGTAGACCTGCTGTATGCTCCAGGGGCAGCTCGAAAGTCGTGGCGAGAGATCGAGGGGTCCATCTCCATGCTGCATGGAAAGGTTGAAGCATGGCTGTCTAGACTGCCGCCAGCCTTTCATTTCACTAAAGGGGCGCCCGCGTTCGAGAGGCAACGCGCGAGCCTGGCGTTTCGCTTTTGCAGCACCAAGATGCTCATTACGCAACCGTGCCTAAGCCGTCTCGCCCAACAGAATTACGGCAATGACCCACCGGGACGATTTTGCGAGACCATGGCAACTGTGTGTGTCGACCTTGCCGGTCAGATGCTCGACTTACTGCCTGATCCCCCGGACCTCGCTTGGGTCTATGGGGTCTCTCCCTGGTGGTGCATCTTACATTATCTGATGCAGTCCACCACCGTTCTCATCATGGAATTGCTACTGATGGCGAGACCCGGAAGTGCCAAGTTTCGGCGGGTGCTGGCGCAAGTGTCCAAAGCGACCGGCTGGCTGGCGGAGATGTCGACAAAGGATCCCTCCTGCCAAAGGGCCTGGCTGGTGTGCAAGGATCTTATCGCTGAGCATGCCCCCGACCTTGGTGACATCGCCAGCCCCGCCGACCGTGGCAAATCCTGACTGTCCGCACGGTGCAAACATTCCATGATGATCTCTCCCTCACACCTTGCGTTTCCGAGACAAGCCCGACAACTGACCGAAAGTCCCTGTCCAGTGATGCCTTGGACTCACCCACTGTAGTGGGCTACTCCCCCCGTCAGTAACCATTAGTGGTCGCGTTGACCAGAGTGTCTCCGTCGAGGGAAAACAATTCGCTTTGACGCGGTCGTCTCTATTTCCCTACACTATCTATCATCGTTGAACTAAACTGGTACCGGAGTAGGTCTCATTCACATTATCTCATTATTTTTTCCCTATTTCCAATTTTCCCTTTTTTCCCCCGTCTTCTCTTAAGTTTTTCTTTCTTTCCCTTTTTTCTGTTTCTACTCCTACCGCGTGTCCCCTCTATAGATTGGAACAGGCTTTCTATGATTGTCAATAGATGTAGACAACCCCGGCTCTGCACCGATGAATTTCGAGGAGTGGATCTACATAGCGCAAGCCCTGTCTTAAAGTAAGTCGCAGCCCACCCGTGGCGTCCAGCAATTCGCATGGGGTCTTGCCTCTTTTTGACAATTTCATTGCTCTCCCATTTTTGTTGCAGCATTTTCTACGGCAGGCCCCCTTTTCTGTCCAGTTTGTCAGAACCACGACCCCCACAGGAGAGTAGAATTGATCGTCGAGCCGCGAAGTGCAGGGCATCAGGCGAACTTTGTCCTAATCGGGCTACGGTCCGAACTGCACTTCCGCCTTTATTGGGCATCGATCCGATATTGGAGACGCCCTGGAGGGAGATGGGAGCCTTGATTGGCCCGACACTGGCTGGGATCCAGTTTTCATGTCGATGTGCATTTCGATCCTTTGGATTCTTTTTTTCTTATCTATCTACCGCATATTGAATCTGGAGTCCTCTAATTTTGATTGGAAGTTGGCGGTTCGTAAGATGCTTGGACTTTTGCGCGCCGCTGGGAATGCGGCTGCCTTACTCGACAGGCATTCACTGTGCTGCTGCAACTGGCACCATGGCTCTGACAGGGTCTCCTCCCCCGAGAACTAAGACCAGGCTAGAAATATGCAATGGGCTTGTACTGCTTTCAGTACGCAACCTACTGCAGTCGCCATGTTACTAAAGTCTCTCCCTCCCCTTTGGCACCTTCCCCAGGCGTTGAGCGTCTGTCGGTACAGCTGGAGAGTAGCTCGATGACTCCTTGCAGTCGCGTTCTTCGGAGTAGGCCGACACTTCCATCTCAAGCGGGTTGCTGTCATTTGCTGGCAAGCACTTCCGTCACCGTGCGGAACGGTACTTTATTGTGCTGCTGTCTGCAAGGTCGATTCCTGTCGGGCTTAGCTTACCGTTCATCCATTCCCCTGCTTGCAGCTAAAGCTTGCTGCCCGTTGAGGGCTGATCCGTGGTTGGGAGAAGCTCTCGGCCATGGTCCGGCTGGTCATGGGTGCCAGATCCCTCACGGGTCTAGACGAAAAGACCGGCCAAGTCAATTGGCAAAAAGGGGAGCGATAACAAGAATCTACGCTTGCTATATATATATATATATATATATTTATTTTATTTTATTTTATTTATTTTTTTTTTCTTCGTCTTATGTTTTTCAAATGAACTGAAATAAAAAAAAAAAAAAAAAAAGCAAAGGGGAAGAGTAAGGAAGAAGGAAAGAAAATGGACCAAGGAGACACTGCCCATGGTTATGGTGAAGGGCTGCGTGAGGCTTCAAGCATTTACTGATTGGGAAAAGTTGGGCAACGACCTCACCACTCACCACCCATTCATCCATCGATTTTCAGGTACAGCTGGTGACTCGCTTCGTAAATCCGCCATTTCTTGTGCTAAATATTAAGCCACTGGCTTGATCTAAGTGCGCTCGATCAGAGCTGTTCCGTGTTGCTCACATTTCTCTCGCGCCAGGGAAGGGGGATAGTGTGGTAGGGAGAAGGAGGCACTTCGGCACTGTACGGATCCTCGATCTGGAGAAGGCAAAAGGACGCTGCATGGACTATGGGGCCAGCTAGGCTACATACTGGCCTAGTTAGCGTCCGGGCCTGCGGTTCTTCTGTTCAACTACTGCTGATCCAAATCTGACCTATCCATTTGGCGATATGCTCCGAAGCACGCCATGGTGCGAACCATGATTTCAACCTGGGCTAAAAACACGATAAAATACAAGAGAGGAACGGAGGGAATGGAGTGGAAGCCCATTCGAATGCGTGGCTGTTGGCTCAGATGAAAATATCCTCCACCATGGCTTACGCATGGCCCCAGCGTACCCAAATAGGGTCCAGATCCCGATGTCAGAGATCAAATCCCGACGCCGCTAACTTGAGCCAAGCCAAACCATCCAGTTTTTAAAAATCTCCTGCTAACCTCACACCATTTGCATGGCCACCCTTTAATACCGTCCATTATACTTGTTGGCATACGTGAGACAAGCAAATCAGACCGCGTAGGACAGCGTATCAGGGTGAAGTAGTATAAACAACCCCCCCTATAGATAGGTCCAAGATATGTCTGTCAATGGGTTGATGTCAGGTCTTGCACTACTGACTGGCGCAGACAATTGCATTATCAGGTCTCCGACCAGAGGAAGCGGCACATTCCGGTCCCTTTCATTGGTAATGTTCGGTTAATCTCCATCACCGCGCGGGCCTGATCATTACCGATTGGTTGCATTTGAAGAGGGCTTTTTTCCCGCCGCGGTGGAAAGTTGGATGGATCGTCTTCGGGCCAGCCCATCTGCGATTCACCGTTTCGAACCATTCCGAAGTCACTAGTTTGTTCTCCACAACCTGCTTGCTGCCTGCCTCGGCGTCGGCAGACTCCTTTCCTGCATTATTACTGCATTGGGGTGTACACACTCCCAACGCATGACAGGGCGGACGTTACTGTCTAGACTGTCTACGTTGCACGACTCGCTCCATTTCGAGAGAAGGGAAAAGGGAAAGACAGACGGATCGTTTCATGCCCTTCAGATTCCGATCATACGTAATGAAACCCATCACCAGCTGGTATCGGCTGGCGCAGGGAAAATTCATGATCGTGGGCGCACCTGGGTATGTGCACTGCGCGACTCGCATCAGTCTCTATCTAAAATTCAGGCTCAGTAGGTATGCCTTGTCATGTAGATCTCAACGAAAAAAATGTACTTTCGTTCGTATCTTCGGATGGACGGAGATCTCGGACTCGATCCGAGGAGGGCGGCTCGGGCTGCCCTTTGGGTCGAGATTCGTTTGGATTCCTGGTACCCGAATCTTTTCGATCCCTTTCAAATGCTTCGCAGGATCTGCTCTGATGCCTGAGGCATAAACTTTTGTGGCATCACAACGGCCTCAGGCCTACGTCACTCCAGCTCACGTGGGTAATTATATAATTGCACGTGATGTGAGTGTGGCAGACTGACTCTACACCGCCTTCCCTAGTGGATGTGGAGGCTGTCACATGATGTGGGGAAAGTCACGGGCACTGCATATCAAAGCAATCCCATCAATAATCAATCATCAATTCAGCTAACCACGGTGCCAATGCGCCCCAATCACCTCAATTAATCCACTTGTTCATTAGCTAATTGCTAGACTGATTTTCATCTCAATGGTCATTCAACCATGCGACGGTGACGCTAGAGAATGTCGTTGCGGGGCCCTATGAAGCGTTCGCACCTGCGGCAGGTGAGCGCCGCCAGTATCGACACGCTTTCCAGCTCGCGCACCGCCGAGCTTCCTCGTGGTACGCCCCGGGATCGCTCCTCCACTCCCGATGACAAGGCAGCCCGTCTCTCATCCACCGGACTGGACCGCCGTCAATGCTCCCTCTGGGTCCATGATGAGACCTTCTCCAAGGAGGAGATCCTGTTCAACCAGGCCGCCTTCAGCGACACCGGCGTGCAAGTGGGCGATGTCATTGAGATATTGCCCGCGCGCTTTTCGGGCGATGCCCCCTATGCCGCCAAAGCAGACATGGGAGCCCGGTCGCTGCGCGAGAGTCATGTTGACCTGAACTCGTCGCTGCCGGCGAACCCCATGTCCAAGTTCAAGACTCCGTTGCAGAGTCGATGTCTCTTCGTGGTCAAGCCGCTCCCACAGGAGATCAAGACCCGTCATCCAAAGCTCGAATTGTCGGTCACGAGCAGCGTGGCTAACATCTTCGGGTTCAAGAACCGCACCGCGGTTCACATCTCCATTGTGGAGCGTGCGCAATGCTCGGCCTCTCATGTGGATATCTCCTTCCGCGATCAGTATCTGGTCCGTTCGGACATGTGGAGACTGGTCATGTCGGAATTATCGGAGAAGATCGTCTACAAGGGCCAGAAGATCGTGTTCATGGGGAGTATCAAGGCCACGGTCAAGAATATCTTCATTCGGGGCAAGAAGGTCCTCTCGGGCTTCTTCTCCCCGCAGACTATTCCCGTGTTTCGAAGCGAGTCGGCCAAATATGTCCTCTTTATCCAGATGTCGAGAGAGATGTGGGACTTTGACTCTGAAGGTACAGGGGATATTCTCTTTAGTAGGGTCATCAATGGCTTTCTGCCGGAGTTGTTCAAGCGCTGGGCCAATTCCGACGCGAGACATCTGGTCACCATTGTGTTGTTTACGCGCGTGGAATATGATCCGTCGGCCATTGGGCCCTCCTCGAGTCTTACATCAGAGAGTTTGCACAACAACTTCACGCCAAATGGTGCGCCAACTAGGGACTTTTACCGTGTGGTCGTTAATGATATGGCGAGTGGCCATTGGACCACCATTCTGGATGAGCTGAAGAAGGACTTTCGAACCTTCTTGAGGGACGTGTCGATTCTCAAGACTACAGACGACATCAAAACGCCCACCATCGATGGGGTAAAGGTGGCCCCTCGAGCCCAATCTGCCACCATCGCCGGACGGCCCAGCACTGCGCTTCGCGGGAACATTCTCGAAGCGATCCATTTGGCGTCATCTCATCTGGCGTACGATCACATTGATCGCGATATGGTGCATACGGGGACTTCGATCATCGTCATTACTCCAGGAAGTGGCGT